GACACCTTTAACCGAGCCAAGCTGTTGAATGTGGGCTTCCTGGAAGCCTTAAGAGATAATGAGAGCTATGACTGCTTCATATTCAGTGATGTTGATCTTGTGCCCATGGATGATCGGAATCTTTATCGCTGTTATGACCAGCCCCGGCACTTTGCTGTTGCCATGGATAAGTTTGGTTTCCGGTGAGTAAATGAATTGGGAATTCCCTTGCCAAATGGACTCTATACTTTGAGTTGGGCTGGAATTACACTATGCTATTGGCATTGTATAGTGTAATGTATTCATATCTTATACTGAGTGATATCAGTGATTCTTAGATACTGACCCATATGTTTGTTAATTAGTTTCAATACCAGCTCTTTGGGATTTCATTCAGAGGAAGTTCTTCCTAACTGGCACTTGCAGGTATATAGTTGCACTCTGCACTCTGGTTATTCCTGAGATACCAGAGGCTCTTTGAAATTTTTCAGAGATGCAAGAATTAGGGAAGAAGCAGAATCTGGATTTGTTTTTGTTTAAACATAATGCACACATACAAATACACATACATAAGACATGACATACACACGCTGCATACATACACACTTACCATACTTAAATCTGTACCTTTCTGAAGATTCTGTTATTAGGCATGGACACTTGCAAAATCTATGTGCTAGTGACATAAAAATATGGCTGGAATGTCTTTTGAATATTTCATATTATAAACCTTAGCCCAATGTTTCCAGAACATCTAAACTAAGCAAGAGAAAAAGGATATGATACTATGTTTATCAGACAGAACCAGGGGAGCCCAATTAACAAGATGAGAAATTGGATAGGATTTAGAGAGGGGATGATACAGTGAGAACAATAAGTGATGTAGTTCACATCACATATATGTTTTAGAAATTGTGGCTCAATCTACACCAGGCCTTCCCTGGACCATCTAAATCTATACTTCTGAACGTTCCTCTTTCAGCTTGACTGATCCTTATCTCTCCTGATTGTCCCCTACAGGTTGCCATACTCTGGCTACTTTGGAGGTGTCTCTGGCCTAAGCAAGACCCAGTTTCTGAAGATTAATGGCTTCCCTAATGAGTACTGGGGCTGGGGTGGGGAAGATGACGACATCTTTAACCGGTATGTGAGAGACTTCAGTTGGGCTAAGCCCAGCCAGTACTTATTCTCTAGGGGTTGGTGGCATAAACTGTGAAATCCATTTTTCCATGTAGAGTTTACTGGGAATATTTGGACTGACCAGTGTTCTTTTGCTCAATGGGATGCTTGTGCAAATTGCAACAAATGTTATATACTGTATTTTCTGTAGTACATTTTTATCCTTTATCAATACCTGAAAACCAGGAATATGGTAGGGAAGAATAGAAAGAGTTTGGGCAAATTCTATTCTTTTAAAGTGAAAGTAAAGGCTTGTTTGAAACTCACTGTTTTGCTGATCTATAACCTATAACTTTTCTTTGCACAGGATCTCACTTAATGGCATGAAAGTATCACGTCCTGATGCCCGCATTGGACGCTATCGCATGATCAAGCATGAGCGTGATCGGCACAATGAACCAAATCCCCAGCGGTGAGACTGCACCTGTGTTAACTTTCTATGTAACCTTCCATAAACTTTCATCATACTCTCAATCCATAGACTGCAAATCAATTTTCTATTGCAAGACTAACCTTCCAGACATCTGTTGGAAGGTTGGGAGACTAACCTTTCAACTATCTTCCCTTTATCAGATCTACTTCAAAGTGAAATATATGCTGTACACATTTTTATGTCCCTCATTGTAGAACAGGAGTACAGAATATTTTGGGAGAAGAGGACAAAGACCATAGCCTTTGAAAAGAAAGTTTGGGCTGCACTCTAAAAATTAAGGAAACCTAGGACAAAGAAGTGGGTGGGACCAGGGAAAGAAATTGGATTAATTAATCAATTAAATATAATTAAAATTTAGTCCTGTTTAATAGTTTCCCCTTCTATCACATTAAAAAATAGAATTTGCTGAAAACTTTGGAAGGAGCTATGAAGTTATATTCTTGAGCCTCAGATTGTACATCCCTGCTGCATTATGTCCCCGAGGGCAATTTTATACTGTCCATTCTTCTCTTCCCCATTCCACTCTCATTTGCCTCTAAGAACCATTGACATGCATCATCCCAGATGAGTTTGATTAAAACTATGGTCTGCTGATGCAGGAAAGGAGAAAAGTGTTTGGACCCACTGCCCTAGCATTTACTATATAGAATAGAGGACATGGGATATCTAACATGGTATATATTTAATATTGATTGACATAGGTTTCTGGTTGTCTGTTTGAAAAGTGAGGCAGGATAGAATTCCTGTTGGCCTTAGTTCTTTAAATATAATCAGCTTTCACTGTCCTCCTGCCAACTATTTCACTTTGAATTCTAATCATGGTGTGTCATTTGAGGGAGATTCTTGTTTGAGCTTCTTTCTGCAGGTTATGGATTCCATGGAGAATTTTGGGTAGTGACTCTATCCCCATGTGTTCACATGATATAATTTAGTTTCAGCAGTCCTATATAGAACTAATGGAATAACAAATGCATATATTCTGGAAAGCACAGAGAATACTATATCATTCATTAATAATTTGTTATGTAATGCACTGATCAGAATCACACCAAATGATGTAAAGTTCTATTTAATCTTTTGTTCCATTCATTGATGGATTGCTGTTTTAGCCTGTGTCAGAGTTAACTGTAAAATGTCGGTGAAATATGAGATTCTGTTTTGTTCTTATGGCAGGTTCACCAAAATCCAGAATACCAAGGTGACCATGAAACGTGATGGCATTGGCTCACTGCAGTACCGCCTGGTGGAGATGTTTCGCCGTCCCATGTACACCAACGTAACTGTGGACATTGGCCGACCACCACCACGCCCCTCTCGGGGTTGACTCTGCTGCTTGGCCCTGCCCATGGCCCCATGCATGAGGAGCAATGCGGATCTCAGCCCTGACTGGTTCAGAGGACTGTGTCCTAGCTTGGAGGACCTGTCTGCCTCCTTCATGGGAAAAGGGGAAAGGCTAAGGGCACACCTTTGCTTTGTCCCTGCCTTTGGCTGAAGACCAGCTCCTTAACACTAGTCAGTTCTCCACAGTGCCCTTCAGATTGGAGAATGAATGTGTGTTATGGCGCCTGGTCCAGTGCTTGGATTCTGGGCAGAGCCAAGCCCCATTTGCTGTTGGAAGGCATCGAGAGCAGAGAAGCCTTGTGTAGGGCTTTGACCTTCCCTTTGCCTCTGGCAAAGTCCATCCTCTCCCTGAACTGTTTGCAAGGCTGTGTCCCTGAAAGATTCCAGAGGTACAGTAGCTGCTCTTTGCTTCTTTTCACAGACTGAAAGACTACTGCCTTTCAAGCCTTTTTTCCAGGCACAGTCCAGTCTTACAATGACTGCCAGCTCCCAAGGTGTAGAGATGGTTCACAGTTAAGGAGAGCTCCATCGCCAGTAAAAGCTCTAATGGGTCTGGCCCACTGCCCACCTCCATTCATGGCTTGGTGCTGTCCCCTGCTGGATCCTGGATGCTTTTTCTGGCTCCAGTAACACAGGGGTGTTTTATACAAATCCTCATTAGAATACTTGAGTGCTTCCTGGGTTAATGTATGTGTAGCCTGTCTGGCATGGTACAACAGGACTTTCTTCTTAGCTGTGCTTTCTCTTGTTCCTATGAGTGGAGCAGATTGAATGGTAGTGAGGTTGTACCTTTTAGTAGGGTGGATACATGGACATGTGGTTTGACATACCCCAAAGTGGGCTTGCTTCTCATTTTCATAAGCACGCAGAACCTATAGCCATTGTTATAGAACGGAATAACGTGAAGGTAGATTTCAGCCTGTTTTCCCTAGATCCACCACCATACCAACTTCTACTCCACAAGCAATTCTACCAGCCCTACAATTTCTGCCAGGCATCCTGTCCTCAACCATTCATTATTTCTTTTCTATCAAACTACCATCAGTCACAGCCCTAACAGTATTTTCATGGCAGCCCTACACCTAGTACTTGGAGCTAGGAAGCTACTAGTGTTCCTCCATTCTGGTTATGGTGCCTGGCAAGTAGAATCACCTGCATCTGTCCACTTTGGGGTGACAGCTGGGCCAGGCTGGAAGCCAGGCATCAGCATGTCGAATAGCCCGGGTGTTGGTGACTTTTGTACATTTGAATGTTTTGATCCCTTTTCAAGCCTATGGTGAATGCAACACTGGTCACTATGATCAGATTTTTGTATTCAGTAAAGTTTCAAAACTTGGAGACTCGTGTCTAGAATTCTGTAGGAGACACTGGATTGAGACAGCTTGTACCATTGCCTTTCCTAATCTGGTGCTCTCCAGGCCTGCCAGGACTTCAGTACCCAGAATTCCCAGCCTTTGGCTATACTGGCTGAAAATGTTGGTGGTTGAAGTCTGTGGAAGGCACCAGGCTGGAAATTTCTCATCTGTAGATCCCCTTCCTTTATTCTTCTTAGCAAGGCCAAATTCCAGACATCTCCAAAATGTATTGTAGTTTCTCACTCCATCTTGATTTTACGGGGTAGAAATGGAGTAATTGGCCCAGGAAATTATGCATATAGTTGCTCAGACCTAGAGGAAAGAGAAGCTATTTTATAAGGATCCTTTAATGTTACATATTCAAGGACTACATGCAGATGAAACTATTCAATACAACAGTGTACAAAAGAGGCGGTCTTGATTGGAATTGACTGGAGTTCTGGGAGGGGAAGATAGATAGGAGGAAATGTCAAATCCTATAATATAACAGGTTGCTGCTGGCAACGTGTTTAGGGATCAGGGATGGGGAAGTTGTTGCCTTGCAGCTGTTGCAGAAGTATATCACCCAGCAACCCTAGCCAGGAGTGCCAGTGGCAAGGGATGCTGGAAATTGTAGTGCAGCAACATCTGAAGAATCTTGCATAGTAGGCCTAGATAGCAGGAGTCAGGAAGTGGATCTGGATCAGGGTCTACGATAGGTAATTGTAGTTTGGAGCTGGCTGAGGGGTATCCTGTGGGGTTTCTTTGTAACCTAGCCCTTAAAGAGATTGTAAGATGTGGTTAAGGAACCACTTAATGTTTAAAGGGAGTCAGAAATGGTGTCCAGCTGAAGCTTGGCATCCTGCCAGCCGCTCACATTTGGCTAAGCGGTTTCCTTCCCAGTAGCCAGCTTCTTGGCCATCATGACAGCGGCAGCGAGTGCAGGGACCTACCCAGACGCTATCTCCAGCAGGAATAATGTGCTGGCTCCCATCTACATAGCAGTTTGGCCCTGTGGAAATAAAAGTGTATTAGCATTGTCAGTGTTTCTCCAAGAAATAACACAAATGTAAGAGATAACAGGGGTCATCACAGTCTGCTCTCACTTGGCCACTGATCCTCTAAATGGAGCTTACGTGAGATTGAGTGGCAATACCAAAAACAAAATGGGTGTTCTGTGTGGGTGTAGCATAGAAGAAGCAAACATTTCCAGACGTGAACAGCATTTTGAAGCAAATAATAGTATAACTTCAAGGGATCATACATGGGAGGCAACGGAAGCTAAGAGTTCCATAGTAATCTGACCCATACTTTACAGCATGAGGGCACTCCTCAAAGAGGAACACAAGCACTATACCCAGTGGCTACTTGGCAGAGGCATCTCTTTCCTTTGACTTCATTTCTCACCTTCCTTGCAGGTAGGGCAACAATGGCCTTTTTCATAGATGGGATTGACACATGGTGGGGGGGCACAGTCTGCTACTAGGCAGCGGGCAATTCCATCCAAGTCACAGGTACACTGCTCACATTCGGAAGGCTGTGGGGGAACAAAGATTGATCAATGTGGCATAGCAATGTTCAGTCATGCTTTTACAGGTAATCCTCGACTAAGACCACAACTGGGACTGGAACTTCCATCGCTAAGCAATGTGGTTGTTAAGTGAGTCATGCCTGATTTTACAACCTTTTTTGCCACAGTCATTAAGCAAATCATTAAGCGAATCTGGCTTCCCCCATTGACTTTGCTTGTCGGAAGCCCCCCTTACAATCTCTTTAAGGGCTAGGTTACAAACAAATGGCGATCATGTGACCCCGGGATTCTGCAACCATTGTAAATACACTGCAAATACATTGGCAATCCTTGCCAATACACTACAAGGATCAGTGGTAAGTCACTTTTTTCAGTGCCATCATAACTTCAAATGGTTGTTAAATGAATGGTCGTAAGTCAAGGACTACCTGTATGTGTACAACAGTTTTGGAAGAATTTACTTTCCATATGTGCCCATCCTGGGTAATACTTTGCGACATGCATATTCTTACAGACTGGCACAAAGCTTGTTTTGAACGTTATTTCTGCACTGTCACATTGTGATAGTGCAGTCATGGTTCTGGAAAATGCCTCCTGGGCAAGACTACCCATTCTTTCTTCATCCTCTCACTACTATGACTTTCTCTTAGTGCTATTCAAACAGTTCACTATCACTGCCGTCATACAGTAAGCATTTGAAGGCAGAAATTAATTGGTCCCCATTAAAAAAAAAACTTTTGACAGGTTGCCTTTTTAAACAGAACAACTGATTTCAGTACTGATCAAATGCTTAAGCAGCCTCCTTCTTGCTTACTCACACTTCCCTTTTCAGGTTCTGCTGAAGTCTCTTCCAGAAAGAGTTTTTCTAAAAAGAAATAAAGATAAGATGCTGCCATGCTGCTATTGGAATAATCTCAGCTGAAGAACCCCACATTTGTGCCCAAGTCTGCCATAATAGCACTGTGGCAACAGATTTTTAAAGGCAAGTGTGTGTATGCAGGCAAGTGAGGAAAAGATATGCCTGAAAGACTTATTTGGCAGGGATGTTACTTCTGCTCCAGGTAATGGCAAAAGTGATTTCTTTTGCAACTATGTCCACCTTTTTCTGCAATATTGTAGCACTTCCAACATTTTTCATACACTTCACATTACTAAGATTACACCATCAGAGGGCACCATCCATTCAGATTAGGTTCTGTTCTAGGAGAAATGCAAACTTCCAACAGGATATCTTGAGCCACTAGCCCCCAGCTCCCACTTTCAAATAGTAGAAAAGAATGAACAAATTGCTGTTCTGATTGTGCATGTAGAGGTTGTGGGTATGGAATTTCAGATCAAGGTGTACTAAACACGCCCGCAACAATGGAGGTGATGTCCTCCAGGAATCCTGTGATAGGACATGCACTTAAATACTCAACAAAGAAGTTGCCATTATTTTCAGTTTGTTTCACCTCTACTAGCAAAGCCTACAGCTAGTGTTAGGGAAGCCAAACTAATAATAAGGAATAAATAAGTAACACAGTACCAGAATCCAGTTCCTCTCTAGATTTTGATTTTATTCTCAGTCCCCTTTGTCTCCTTCCTGCCAGCTACCATATCTACTTAAAAGATGAAATTCTCAGATTATTATTCACTGTGTTAAATTCCCTCTCCATTGGACTAGCAAATGGTTATAGAAATTCACACCTCTAATGAACTGTTGAAATAAATTTAGTTGATCACATGGACATTATAGGCCAGTTGCCAAAAGACATGTCTCAAATCATAAAGCTAAAAAGAGCTTCCTTTAATGTATGATGCTGTCCAGGACTTCTTAAAAATCTACTTTGGCAAGATGTTACCTTATTCTTGCATTGTAGATAAGCAAAAAATATTTCCCTCTTCCTAAAATGCTAGTCTTGTTGTTTGTAATACTAAAATGTAATCAGTTCAGCTAACCATGTTTCTTAAAAAAGCTATTTGCATACAACTTTCTGCTTTTATGCAAATGCAAGGTGTCACAGTTTCAGTGTCAGCTTTACTAAAAATCAACCATGCAATATTGTATGCATCTCCAAAAAGGTCACGGGCAAACTTCAAAATTTAGGGCTCTCTAAAAGGGCTGTTCATGTATCACAAATGAACTGAGGAAGCACTCTGCATTTCAGCAAGCCGGGGGGGGGGGGGCGGAATGCCACTTCTTTAAGGACTGAATTAATTCTAATGAATTTAACACAGTTCTGTTGGCACAGAAGCATGAAAAATGTTGTGGTGCTCCAATGAATAGGAGGAGGTGCTTGCTCATGAGATCCAAAGCACTTCTCTCAAATCACTTTCAAAGTGTGCACAACCTTACTAAGGAGTGAGAGAGGAAAATTACTGGGAAGGGAAATAATTGTTTTACAGTGAGTTAGGCCCCATCTGCTCACAGCAAAATGTCTCCAAGGAACACTCAGCGAATCTGAGCTAGACAGCAAGGACACGATCTGCTCACTGCCCAATTATGAGGATTGGCCCTTAATTCATGCAAATGATTATGTGATTCTCAGGCACAGGGAACCCAGGAGTAGAGCAGGCTTTGATCTTCTATCTGCAGCCCCTTAGTCTAGACCTGTTTATTCATCTGTTGCTAAAAAATCTTTGCCCCTCCCTCATTGCCGAGTTCCCCATGCCAGCAAATTGTTCGGCCTGACAACTCACATCTTAAATACACTGCAAACAATTTCAGCAGTGACAGACAATAGCCAGAATAAAGGTACAAAGTGGTTAGTGTCAGGGTTGAAAAATAGAGAAGGATATTGACTGAAGAGACAACTGGGTGGGTATTACAGACAACAAAAAGTCCTTATTTTACTTCAGTGCGGTCAAGACATTTTGATTTTAAGGAAACCTCATCATGCCATTCCTAATCTAGTGCTTGTCATCCACATCGCTTTCTAATACGCTGTAAGAGACAGTCCTTAAAGTGGCAATCCAATTTCCATTTCATAAGATACTATGCCCCACGAAACACAGGTCTTATGTCTGGACTAAACATGTCAAGACTATATTGTCAATGTCCCAAATTAGATCTTCAATAGATAGAAGTATCTCTCAACTACTTTGTTCATTAGCAGCTTTCACTTTTAGCCCTGGCTAAGGAGATTCTCACATTCAGGGAGACGGCCACCACCCATCCCTGGCCATGAAGTTGCGCGTTGGTTTTTCATCCGCCCTGCGTTCACTTGCCTGCCTTACCTGGAAATGCTGCCCCAGTTCATAAACCTGCCCTCGGTGCTCGCAGCCGACGCGTTCGCAGCGCGGACAGCAGTCGCCCGGGTAGTGACTGACGTGAATGCAGGCAGGCGGCAGAGCGGCGCAGTCGCTGCGGGCACATGCTGGTCCTTCCGCCGTGCACTCACACTGGATGCAGTTGTCACTATCCAGGGAATACCATTCACCCACGAAGTACAGGCTCCCGTTGGCATCGCAAGTGCTAACTGACCCTGCCAGCCCGGGCCGAGCCACCACAGCCAGCAGCAACGTCAGGCTCAGCCGTTCCAAAGAAAAGGGCATCGCTAAACTCCAGAGGCGTCGGCAGGGGAGCTGGGCAGAGCAAAGAAACGGCAGGGAAGCGGGCGGAGGAAAGCGCGTATCCACTCTGTCCAGTCGAAGGGTCTAGTCCGTGGCTGACAACCAACCTGGCCGGCCCCTGCGCTCTTTGTGCCGCCGCTCGCCCCCGAGTGAAATCCGAGCAGAGCACCCCTTCCCAAAAAGGGCGGGCGGAACCTCGGAGCTGGGAGGGGCAGTTGCATTGCCCCCCGCCTGCCTCTCCTGCCAGACTGGTCGCGCGCTCCACCCCGCCTCCGTAGCCCTCGCGCTTTCCCCAAACCCTTCGAACTTCGGCACTTGGAAGAAACGCTCTGCCCTCAGGTCCCAGCCCTGGTGCCCACGCGCCCCCTTTCCTTCGATGCCCTTTTACGGTTCTAGAAACACGAACTGAGGAGGAAATGTAGCAACCGGTCGACAGGTCTCGGATACATTCTACCAAGGCTTTTCCCAGGGTGTTTGAGTGCACGCTGGTGTCACGGCTGCTTCAGCCTTCTGGACGCGGCTCCTTTAAGAGGCGAGGTTTCCGAGGAACGAGGAGGGCGGTTACCATGGAGACAACCAGTTGATGCTCCCGGGAGCTCACGCGGAGAGGTGAAAAGTTGGGGGGCGAAGTGGAGGGCGAGGTCCCCCCCTCCCCGTGGAGGTGCGTGTAAAGGGTGTTGGTCAGTCTGCGGGCGAAAACGTGAGGGACAAGGAATTAAGCTCGGTAGCACGATCGAAGCTGGGCCGAACGTGGGGAGACGGTAGGGTTAGTCTGGCCAGGCAAATGATGCCGGGATGAGCTGCTAAAAATGTAAAGGGGGCGGGCTGGGGGCACTGGAGAACAGGTAACTGGGTTTATTGGCTGTAGGGATTAGTGGGTTGGTGTGGTTATGAGTCTGATCTACAGCCCAGTGGGTTCAGGGACTGTGGCCTTACCTTGTTGTGAATGATTAATTACACACTGATGATGATGATGATTACATATAATGCAGCATTAAGATTAATAATATTTAATAATTATTAATAATACTTACATAGTATTAGTCTTATACTGCTTATGAAGAAATGGGGATAACGTGCCAGGTGTCCTTGTATTGGGGACCTGTCATTTGCTATTTGATCCCTATATTTCCTTCTTTCCTCTAATTCATTAGGCCTGGGAATTTCTATTTTTATCCTGGAATTGGACTGTGCCCCCATGTTCCCCTTGTCCAGTTTCTCCCTGGAGCCCTTGCAACCAGTGCCATCGCTCTGGAGGATGATAGAGGAGCAGCTAGCACCCAGTGAGAAATTGGAAGTGAAGACTATCTTGGGAGATGATCTTGTGGAACACAGCTTGGAGCTTCACACTGAGGTTTGAAAGAGGAGCTTCAGGCCAACTCTATGATGGGAACTGTGGTCTATGCATTTTCCTACTGCAATAATATGTACAGAGGGGCTGGAAAATTACCCCACCATTTTGAATGGGTGTAGATGGTGTCAGGGAGGCTATCTGTAAGTCCCATCACATTAGGGTCCCTTGAGTTTTTGGCAACAGAGCTTAACTGAGTAAAAGGTTAATTGGTAATAAGTATATGGAGTTGCTTTAATGTGATTGCCAGAATTCCTTTTTAACATGGGAGCTGTAATCCTAATACTTTTGGAAGACCAGGTTGGGAAAAGCTGCTGAAGGTACACATGTTGGCAGTGAGGAGACCAGACCTTTCACTTGACCTTTATACCACAGAGAACAAAGACCTATTCAATCAGAGCCATCTCTAGCTGAGAGCTGAATGCAATTTAACAATGTGAACTGATTAATGTTGATATGTTTGGTTAAAGTGTCTGTAATGTTTTGCCAGTATTTTATACTTGTGGTGCTTCCCCTACCCCTCATTTCAGCAGTCTGTACAAAGTCACAGCTGTGCTGAGCTCTGGAGAAAACATCTTCTATGCCTCTTTCTGCTGCTTTTGAAATACATACATCATTGTGCATGACAGTCATTTTGGAAAAAGTACACAGTTATAACCTAAGTACTGCAGAGTACACCTCTATTCCCCAAAAAGGACTTGTGTATTTCACTTAATCCAATTTTAGTAAAGTATGCCTGTTTATCTTTTTATTTCACATTTGTATATTTGTATACAATTTATATAGATTTATGAGAAACCTGTCTTGACCTTGCATCATTCTACTTCAGTTCCACATCTCTATTTCTGTTGTTAATATTAGGTAGACCCTCATCTTTCAGGCTTTTCTATATTATACCTCCTCATTGCTGGCTTTCCTTCTGATTATAATACCCTTGGGCTTTGGCTCCCCCCACCCCCCCAGACTGGTACTTTCTCTCCCACTGCAATGCTTACATCAATCTTACCTGCACAGGTTTTCTGACGTGATTTTCATTTATTTTATTTGTTTGTTGTGTATAGCCATTACTAATGCACACCAGCAGTTATATGAAAAGCACTGCTAGACAACATTCATGACCCTGTGCTGTTGGAATTGAGACTGACACTGTTAGAATCATGTGAACATGTACTAGTATTGCTCAAATTGCAGAGCCTAGGGGGCTCAACAGTATTTGTCAGAGGCCTCCTTTTTTAAAAGGCTACAAGGATGAATGTTGCTTTTATTAAAATTGGACGTAGCTCAAGGATAGGGATTATGACTTCAATTATCTCTCCCTCCAGTGATTCAAATTTTGGTCACAAGCAATAACATGCATTTATCCATTATCTTATAGTTCAAAAGAGGGTGGTGTTTTTGTTTTTCTTTTAGCCATTTCAATCTGGGTATCCCAACTACTTTCAACATCTAGTTTAGATCCTGTAAGTGAAATATATCTGCTTTCAGAAGGCCAGATTGTAAGAGTGAATTGATATATTGCCTTTTCTCTCCTCTGCAAGTTTCTCTTTTGCCAACCCTCATCTCAGCTGGTTTTGAACACTTGGCTAGAGTCCCTAATCCATACTATATCAAGTCCTTTGTTCTGCTCCAATCACTCACACCCTTTCTTTATTCAGCCTGGGGCAAAGAACAATAAACATCCCAGAGTCTTTTCTCATGCTAATGGATTTACCTCTCTCTGCATGGACTAGTTAAAATATACTATGCATGCTAAGAATAAAGGAAACAGAAAAGAAATAAGATGGGTGGATGGACAGAGTCAGGGATATGAGTGGAATGTTCCTGGAAGTGCTGTGGACTGTCACCAGAGACAGGTTTGTCCAAATAGTCACCAGAAGTCAGGCCTGGCTCAGAGACACCTAATTCCCTGCCTACCATGATTAATTGGCATGCTTTTCCTATCCATATCTTCCTGGGGTCCATGTCTCAAAGCATCAGGATTTGTCTTCTATTAGTAACTCATCATCCCTTTTGAGGCCTATTACCTGCCTTTCTGTTGCCTTTTCATCTCATGCTGTCATGCGGTAACTTAATTTCTCTGCTGTGCTCTTGTCTAAATGCCCTCTGTCCCCAGTTAGGACAGCTGGGAAGCCGTCAGTAAAGTAGCTATATTGCTGTAGACCTCTTGTTGATATGTAGGGCCAGGAAGGGAGTGCTAGAATTTATTTGTCCTCCAAATGTCCTACATTATTTCATTTGTAGCTGGGGATATTTTGTCTACATAATTCAATGTATTCCCCCCCCCACACACACACACACACTCAGGGGAAGACAATGGCTGTGGAGGGATATGAACTCAGCTTTGCACCTTTTATGGAATATTAGTAGTACAAAGATGACAGCAGTGCAGTCTCCTCTTGCTAATTACTGGGTGACAATATTTTGTGCTAATCTGGGTGTGGATAGTAGGTATTTTAAGGTGAGAGTGGGATAGTGCTATTATTGATAAATCATCTCATAGGGCAACTTTACCCACCTTTTGCTAAAGGGTAGTGGTATAATAGCTCCATCCTTGATTCTAAAATGCTTTTCAGAGCAGTCTTCAACTTTCTGCCCCCTAGATGAGTTGGCACTGCAATTGCAGACTGGCTGGGAATTCTGAGAACTACATTTCCAACACATGTAGAAGGATGGAGGTTTGGGGGGGGGGGGTTGTCCTATAATTTCATAGCCTATGCTCAGTCTTCAGGCAGATTAAAAATGTTACTAAATGTTTACTATCTAAGATATAATGGAAATCCAAACAAGGCAAGGAAACGCAGCCTTCTCCAGCAATCTAATCTTGAGTTATATGACATGGATGAAATTGATGGAGAATAGTATTAATCATAACATAATATAATGTTGTATGCATTATTATCATTCATGATGTATACTGGGTCTTGTAGTTATATCTGCTTTTGTTCTCCAGCTTCTGGCCTTAGTGTTTGCCTATAAGATATGCCATGCTTTTTAAAACATTCTCCTTTAAATTACATTCCTCTTTTCATATGCTGCTGTTTTCCTAAGGGATATACTTTTTTTCCTGGCAGATGTTTTCAATCCATAGATCTCTGCTGTATGAGCAGGATGTTTTTCTTTTTTCTTTTAGAATTTTAGAAGATTCATTGAAAATGAATTGTTTCTGTGTCTGTGTTTTGAAATTCTTACATGTAAAGGAAGTAGAGTGTGGGGGCATATGAGAGAGGCCTGGGAAGAGAGGGGAGAAAAGAGGCACAGGAAATAGCCAAGTGATATGAGTGGCAGAAGTGAGATGAGGAAACAACAATTATTGAAGGTTACTCATACAAAGAGAAATAGAAGTGAAGGACAAGCAAGGTAAAGTATCTATTGTATAATGCAATCTTCCCCAGTGTGATACCTTCTAGATAGGATGGGCAACAGTTATTGCTTTGAGACAAATAGCAACCAACATAAGCTGTGGCCCAACATAGCTGGAGGTACAAGTTTGGAGAAGAGTGGTACAAAGTGATAGCATGCTAAGGGAACTTGCTGGAGCAGTAAGACCCAGTTTTGTTTGGTAATTAAAGCATTGGACTGGCCCTGGGATTCAAATCCACCAAAGTCAGCCACAGAAGCTCACTGGGTGACTTTGAGCCAGCCAATCACTATATTTTAATTCAACCAAACTCACTGTATTGTTGTGGGGAAGCATAGGAGGAAGGAGTGCTACCTTGAACTTGTGAAGAAAAGGTAGGATATCAAATAAATAATTGATTTTGACATTTCAGGAATGGATCACATATTTCAAGAACCCCCACAACAGTTTTCACCAATCTTGCAGCCTTCCTAATATGTAGTTTTGTACCACTGTGTTAAAGATTATCCAGGCTACATTATGTCTTAATCTTTCTAACAAAGGGGAGAGTTTCTGAATGATGTTATTATCTTGCTTAATTTTGCTTATGAATCTTTTAACAAAGAAGCATCTGGGATGTATCAGGTCAGGTATGCTAGAACTGTAGTCTTCAGGTGTGTGAGTGCTTCTCATTATTTGGGCAAGCAATGAAAGGGCATGGAAAGATTAACAAGTGACTTTCTTGGGATTTGTATCAAGTGCAACTGTAAACATTTTGGGGTATGTCTAATGCACAGAGTCTAACCTCCTCCCTCTTTATAGGTAAAGACTCTCTTGGAATTCTATCAAGAATTGCAGTTGGACCAGTTTGGGCAAACAGCTAATAACTGTGTCTTGCTGGCTGCTCCTCCCCACCTGAAGGAACTAGTAAGAGAGGAGATTCGCCTACTCCTGATCAGCTTGCAGCAAAAGGCATTGCAAGAGGGCAGGTACTGAAGAAAAAGAAATGCTTCACAATGAAGGTCTAACTTGTTGACAGGTTCTAAGATACCAATACCGCAAGGAACAAACAAAACTACAAATTAAGGTCTGTGGACTCTGAGGAAAGAAGGAAACTGTAGATCTCTAATTCAAGAGCCTGTGAAGCCTTCACATTCCTTCTTCTGATCCAAATCCCCCAGAAATCATACTATCAAACTTTGTGGGGAAGAAAGGCATTATTTCCCACTTCGTTTGTGATGACGGTGAGAAGAAATAGAACAACCTTTCCCCCTATTTCTACTAGATATTTCCTGATGCATATGACTTATACCTCACTTCCATGATATCCTTTTGGGAGCAGGCTTCCTGTCTCCACCCCCAATTTATGCAGACATCTCACAACTGCACATTCCCATCAGGAATGAAATCTAGCTTCTGCTTTTGTTTCTCTAGTGTACGTGATCCATAATCCATACACTGAGGCTGGGATTATGTCCCCCCCCCACCAAATTCAAAAGAGAGATTAATCTGAATGAGAACTGGGTTCAACCTCAGCAAGGAACTCTTGGCCAGATATTTGCCTCCTACTTTGTTCCTGTATAAATAACAGAAAGGACAATCAGGGCAATTAGAACGAACTGACCAGTAAGAAAGAGTTTTTTTTCTTCCAATATTTCAGTTACACACTGAAAACAGTTTGTTCTACTCCCTCAGGCTTTTCTTCATCATTTAAATCTTGCTATCTCTCAGATCCAGCCTTGGGTACTTTGGTTAAAAGAGTTCCTCTCACATTATCTTTATTCACATGATAAAGTTTAAATCATGGCTTACTCATACAGTGGAGAGGGTGAGAGAAGGGCCTTTTGGTCAAATTTGGTTTTCCATTTAGCCTAAAGATGTTCATCTAACTGATTTTCATTCCACATTCCAGCAAGTGTATGGCTTCAGTGCTAGAATTTAAGAGACAGTTCTAAGGTGGCTAGGTCCTTGTCTCATGCCTGCTTCTTATTATAGGGACCACGATTATGCCATTGCTAAATACAACCCACGCGTGGTCAACTTTGCTTTAAAGACAAATGATGGAAATAGTCGGCCATCATCTGGGAGCAACACTCTCATCAGGTAAGACCCAAGAGTAGACTTTATTCAGCAGCTCCTGCTGTCTTGGACAGTCTGAGGGGAGAGGGAAGGGTCACCTGGAGAAGAGCCCAGGCCACTCACCTATACAGCAAGGCTGAAATCAAAGTAGGGGAAGTTGGGAATGTAGTGGACCTTGGTTTCGTAAGAGCAGCCTTGCCCAAACTGGTGCGCTTTCCAGCTGGATCAGGCTGCAATTCACAACATTCCCATGACCTTGATGATTGAGAACCCAAGTTGATTACCAGTGCCAGGTCTGAAGGACTATCAGGAGGTGGTAAAAGGAGTAGGAGTCTCTTGGACCTACAGTCACTAAGGCTGTAGCCCTTTGCGCACAGGTGGTCCAAAGCTTGAAATGTTAGTTGGGTGATCTGGCATTTTCTTCAGTCATTCATGACAAACTACAAGTTCCCAATACTACCCGGAAAGCATGGAATGAGAGAGACTTTATTCAGCTGTCTTGCATACAGGTGAAACTCGAAAAATTAGAATATCATGCAAATGTTCAGACCTTTGCGCACAGGTGGTCCAAAGCTTGAAATGTTAGTTGGGTGATCTGGCATTTTCTTCAGTCATTCATGACAAACTACAAGTTCCCAATACTACCCAGAAAGCATGGAATGAGAGAGACTTTATTCAGCTGTCTTGCATACAGGTGAAACTCGAAAAATTAGAATATCGTGCAAATGT